TAATAACATAATATATTAAAAAAAAATATATGTTAATTGATATTGTATGGGCACATCACAGAATAATTAATACCTTCTGAAAATATTTGAAATAGGAACTCAACATCACAATAAAGTACAGGGTTGTCCTCATATTTTGGAAGAATGTGTAAATGCAAAAGGCTTAGGGATCACACAAAACAATTGCCGATCACAAACTGCGGAACAAGCATACATAACTTGGATGTTTTTAAAAGGAACACCCTGTATATTTTCAGCTAGGATGAAATGTCTTTTTTTCCTGATTTCAAAAATATATAATTTGTTAATGTTTTGTTTTAATGTTTCGGAGATATTTAGGTTTAAACTTTGAAAAGCTTTCCTTAAAATTGCCTATTGAGGTAAAAACCAGAAGTACCATAATTATATTTGATAAGGTCTGTAGTTGTAATAATTTAAAGTTTAAACTCAAATTTCTCACCAACGGTAAAACAAGAAATCAACAAATTATATATTTTTGAAATCAGGAAAAAAAGATCTTTCATATACAGAATGTCCCATTTAAAAAAAAACAAGTTGTTCTTGTTTGGCGCTTTGTAATGGGCGATTGTTTTGTGTGATAATCCAAAACATGATAAGCAAAAATCCCTAGACCCTTTGTATTTACACCTACCTACTACCTGTAATTAATATTCCTTCAGGTGGTGTAAAAATATGAGGAACAACCCTGTACCTAATTTAAGAGTGCGCTTCTCCATGCTGAAATTCGCATTCGCGACTATGTTGTTTTGTTTTAATGAAAACAGTTGCATCTAAAAAAATTTAATGGCCGTTTTACAGCTTACAAGAAAATTTGAATGCCATTTATTGCATGCAAAAAAATTGCATTCAAGATTTCTTGCACTTCGTTTTACACCTTGCAATTTGACTTGTATCTTTCTCTAACCTCATCCATACTTTTTTGTTTTTAACGTTGTGTTGTTGATGTTTGCATTTTCCAAAAATAAAAAAGTGATTATAAGTCGATATAAAAAGAAAAAAGCAATAGCAGCAACTTTAGGCATCATAATTTGCTGAAAATTCCCCAGCTTGCACGAAAACCTTCAAGAAAAATGCACCAAACCGATTGCATGCAATGCCATTCAAGTTTCAAGAATCTTGCAGAAACCAATCAGCTGACTCACTTCTGCGCGTGCCCTCGTTCAAGTTTCTTGCATATTGCAGAAAGAATTGCAAGCTGTAAAACGGCCTTAACAAAAACTGTTTTTAAGAATGTATTTTTGTGCTTGTTTGACCAGTAATTTTTTTTTTTCTCAGTTTTTGAAAAATATTTTTCCTAAAATGAGTAAGATCAAAAGTTTTACTGGTCAAACAAGCACAAAAATATATCCTTGAAAACAGTTTTGGTTTAAAATTTCCTGGATGCAACTGTTTTCATTAAAACAGCATAGTCGCAAACGCGATTTTCAGCATCGAGAAGCGCACTCTCAAGTGGAGAAAATCATTGGGATAAATTTCTAACTGAATTAGCAATTTGCGACAATGAATTTGCCATGCTTTCGGTATTCCTACTCAAAGCTGCCAGTGAATTTGAAATATTTTCAGTGTTTGTATTCAATTTTTCCAACAGCTGAACTGTTTCATTGTTTAAATTCAAAAGTTCATTTGACAAATGAACTGCATTATTAGGTCTACGTCGTATCCTCATATTTTTTTTACGTGTCTCCTGACATTCCAATTTTCTTTTAAAATTTAGCCCAACATTGTCTGACAAACGCTTCTGTTCAACTTCATAGTCATGGTCATGATGAAGTGTGCTTAGCTTGGAGCTTGTTTCCATAGCTCTTTTGTTGTCATTGTTTTGGGCAACACTTTTGACAATTTTTGGAATTTCTACCTGCAAAATAAAAATCAGCTTATATTAAAAATGGATTATCATTTTCAATAAATAATGAAAATGAAACATTTAATAACTAGAGTATTGGTGGGTACAGCATTTTCCTTCACCGTGATGAAATTTTGAAAGGCATCAGTACTACCTACCTTTCCAAAATCTAACTCTGGCACCAACCTATCTCCATTCAATGCCGTAGTTCCCATAATCACTAAAAGTCTCTCTTCTAGAGAGGAAAGAGGAGTAACTGAGGTGGACCTCCCCCAGTCTGTTGCTGTTCTTTTTTAATAGCAGCAGCCTTGGACTTGGACTTAGCTTTGCACTTCCAGTCGGCTAGTGCCTGCATAATATTGTATATGGTATGTTAATATAGTTGATTAATAAAGGTAATGTGTTTGTACTCATCTTTCTCTAACCTTCTACAGTTTTCTCTCCAAACCCCAAGCCATTTAACATTCTGGAAACATTTTGCCACAGTGCGTTTCCTTTGGCTCTGCCTTCCGGGCCATCAAAATGATTGGTTAGCAGTTCGGGATTTTTCTCACACACACTCAAAAAAGCTGCCAATGTTCCACCCGAACTCTCATCATTGAAATGTGAAAAAAAACACAAAATAAAAAAAAAGCTTATAGTTAGGGAGACGACCGCATTTTTTCCTACCCCGATCGAGTTATGTGTCTACACTATTATCAATATATAGTATTATGTGCATCTATTAACCAGTATTCCTGCCTGAGAGCAAATGCTGCCGGAAATATCTTTTAACAAATTATTAACCAATTGAAAAAAACGTAACACTACCCCCATCGAGTTATGCCCTAAGTAGGGTATCAAATTGAAGGTCTCGATGTCCCCTATCCAAAAAGTCGATCCTGCCTCGCGAGAACTTGCCGGAAAACGGTGGCAGGACAGCTTATTGGGGCAAGGGCCCGCGGTCTCAGCTTTGACACCTATTAAGTTTTACCCTGAATGATGTGTCAAATTAAAGTTGTTAATAAATTGATTTAAGGTCTCTTCGCACAGAAATCCCAAACCAGAAGGAGTGAATTTCATTGGTTGAAACTAGTTTCCAGACTGTTTCCAACCAATGAAATTCGCTCTGACTGGTTTGTGATTTCTGTGCGAACAGACCTTAAATCAACTTATTGACACCTTTAATTTGACACATCATTTAGTGCAAAGCTTGATAGGTGTCAAAGCAGAGACCGCGGGCCCTTGCCCCAATAAGCTGTCCTGCCACCGTTTTCCGGCAAGTTCTCGCGAGGCAGGATCGACTTTTTGGATAGGGGACATCGAGACCTTCAATCTGATACCCTACTAGGGCATAACTCGATGGGGGTAGTGTTACGTTTTTTTCAATTTGTTAATAATTTGTTAAAAGATATTTCCGGCAGCATTTGCTCTCAGGCAGGAATACAGGTTAATAGATGCACATAATACTATAGATAATAGTGTCGACACATAACTCGATCGGGGTAGGAAAAATGCGGTCGTCTCCCAGACTATTATCCTCAAAATTTAATTACAAAATCACTACCGCCGCAATCAACAAACAGAAATTAAAAAATGAAAAGGTCCTATCAAATGTCAATAAAATTGGTAATACCCATGCGTCGACTAGAATACATTTAGATGTAGGGACGAAACTACACATTCATCGCCTCGTGTCGATTCAACGATGACACAGATTGCCGGAGATATCGATTTTCAGCGACTTGTAGAATTCGATAGTGCACAGCAGTGCCAGTCCCAGAGCAGTGGGGTCGAGGACAGATTGTTCGATCAGCTGATAATGTTTATTGGAATAATAATACTGAATGAAAATAAAATAGCCCAGAGATTTACCCTTTGCAAATGCCAGCTTCAGGATCCCTAGCAACTCTATCCGAGGTAAGTATAATAACTCTAGCTCTATGAATCTAATTAATTATAATATACCAACAGGCAAAATAATCAGAAACGGACTTCAACCACCCATCCATTTATTTCCAGGCAATGCCCTCAAGGAAAAGCAGCAATAAGAGGTCCAAAATCACGGTATAGCGAACCAGTTAATCGTCAAAAGTGCGAGAAAGAAGGATATCTTACGAAGTTTATTGATTGATTGACTCCCTGCGTTCGGAACTCATAACATAATGATATTTAGTTGAAAGTATTTGTAGTTCTATTAGGATTAAGTTCAATCTATTGTACCTACCTATTTGTAATTCTATCCCAATATAAAATTTAGTAATTTTTCTTAAATTTTTTTTTATAAACAATAATAAAATCAGGTCTAAATTACACAGCTTATTCACCATTTTATCCTGAATTCCTGAATATTCCTTAATTTGCTCGAAAGAGTCGAAAGGCTAGATTTTAACGTTACAGAACCCGTAATGTTATTGAAAGAATAAATGAGATTTTGAACGGCGTTTTATGGTATTGGCCTATAGGCTGCGTTGCAAAGTTGAGAATGCTCTGCCCATAATTGTAGCAATTTGGGTTTTGCATAATAAAGCACGGAGAATGGAGGAACAGGAGTCACCTCTAGGAGAGGGGATTGATGAAAATGTGCTCTGATATTTAATTCAATAAAGAATCACTCCCGCAATGCCTGGGGAAAATGATAACCGCCTCAACTACAGGAAACAACTTATTGATTAGTTTTTTAACAATTAAGATAATAATTAGTTGTCATAATAATTTGGAGCTTAGGTCCCTTTGGCAAATATGAATATGTAAGATCTGTTAATACTAATAAAATAAAAAATCCGTCTTGAAAAAAAAAAAAAAAAATGCTTTATTTACGACTGACATATAATGTAAGTATTATATTTGTGATTTTGGCAGTTTAATGACATCTATTAATCCCGCAGGGATTAATGGTCATTAATCCCGCTTGCACACCAATCACAAAATTTTTCAAATTAAATAAGTAGAGTACCATGGAAACAGTATAGAACAAATTCAGTGTCAGTGTCAAACGCGTAGTGCTTGTGTATTTGTATTGAGATGGATAAACAAAGAGCGTTTTTGGAAAGAAAATTTCAAATAAATTAATTTGTCGTAAATAAAGTAGAGTATACTACTCGCAATAATGGCTATCATTCCCTCGGAATGTTACTCCCTCGCCGCTAACGCGGCTCAGTTCGTAAATATACCTCGGGAATAATAGCTATCATTATCACAAAATCAACACTTATTACTCCCATAAAATACCTTGCATCTAGGTAGGTATTAGCCATATAGTTGTGCTAACAAATAAAATTTGCACTTCTCTATCACAAGATAGAAGCAACGCCCATCACATATGAAATCAACTAAATAGATAATTTATCTTATATCTATAAAATAAGCTATATCTTCTTTATTGCAAAAAAAAAATTGAAAGCTAGCTTCTTCATTCCTATCTGCACAAAATGGTTTTGCAGGTACTGTCCGAAAATAAATGTAATAATCCTGATCTAAGCCGTTTTCTCGCGATGGAACTGGTTGGACCTGGTTCAATTAGGTTGGAAACTGTGCATTCTCGCGTGGAACCAGAGACCTCACATTGAACCTGGTTCAAAAAAATTCGAACCGGACTCATGGCATGTTCCAACAATAGACGCATGCGCTGTCGGTTTTGTTTGTTTTGTTTGGTTGTTTTTTTTTTTTGTTTGAAAGTTTAACGTTATTGTTGGTTGTCGCCGTTGTCGGTTTAATTTGAAATAATTCAACACTAACTCAATAATAAATAGTATATATTAGTATTAAATAAAAGCTATGGAAATGGAAAACGTAATTTTTAAACAACTTATTTCCGACGTCAATGAAAAACTGATACAAAATGAAGTGCTTTGTGAGGTTGAGGATCAACAAGGTATGTTTATCAAAAATGTTGATTGAAGTGGTAATCCTTTAATAAACAAGTTATGAAATGTATTTCCCCATTTCTGGCATGTATCTACCTATAACCCAATACAGTATGATATATCAATTATATCATTGTTATAAATGCTATCCAAACTGTTTCAGGAAGGACATTCAACCTTCTCCTATTAATGGATTCCCTCAAAAGCTGTGGCTTGATAGATGAAAGTGCTCTTAACAAGATTTCCTTGATACCCGCACAATGCACAGACTTAGAAAATTCAGAGTCCTTGCCTTCTACCAGTTCATCAGCATCAAATACTAACACTACAACAAGCCAGCTTTGGAAATCTTCAAAATGCCAAACAAATATTGACCACTAAGCAACACTTATCCTGCTGGATTTAAGAAAAGAAAAGAAGTTGACAAGGAATTTAGGGACAAAAAATCTGCCAAAAATTTATTATGAAGAAAAATGGCAACCAAAATGAATGAAATGGGGTTTGTAGTTGGAGGAGGTGCAGAAGGAAGGGAAAAAGGAAGATAAACATTTACAAACCCCCAAAAATCTTACATGAAATACTTACAAAGGAGACAGCAAACTGGGGAAGAAGCAGTACATAAACCTCCCTAATTCAACGAGATTGATGATATCCTGGGGGACAAGCATAAGGTATGCCTGTATAGACTCGGGAATACCAATGGAAAAGAATACAAAAATTGTACAGAAAACTGAAACAAAGTTATGCCGGTTTTCCACTAAAAACAAAAACAAAACTGAAATAAACACAAAACTCTTGTTTCCATCAAACGGACTACGTTATGTTTTCTCGGCGAAACAAAACTCCAACTATCTCAAAACACTCTAGTCTTGAAAATGTTTGGGAAAAGTTTGAGTTTGGGTTTTGTTTTTGTTTTGTCTGTTTGGTGGAAAACCGCCATTAGATGTAGATTCACAAGCGAGATGCAGTATAGTTGATATATGATGATAGATGATAGTTCAAGTAGTACATTAGAGACTCCAACGTCTGAAAAGGCAGAGGGGAAAATTCCACTTGAAAACTCGGCTAACGATTGATATCAGTGGAGTGCGTAGTTATTTCTTTATTAGAAGACAACATTATTTTTTACATTTCGCGTTTGAATTTTCGTGTATGTAAGAAAACGCTAGACATTCGACAAATAAATAGTTTATTTTAAATTCACAAAAATATCCAGGCGACGATGCGTTCAACAAGCTGAACAAGAAGCAAGCAGTCCCTGCCGAAATTCCTAAAACTATCGACTACTTTCAACTTTGCCGAAGGAACGATGGGTCGGATCATAAACATTGAATCCTACAACCTAAATAATGAAACCAAGAGATGGGGTA